TCACTGAACACCCTGTATGCCATTCTCAAAGTCCAGCATCAGTAGATAAGATGCACAGCAGAACTACACTGAAAACACCTGTCAAATAGGGCAGAGGTCAAAGAATCTAGTTCTGAGGGCTAAACTGTGCCATATATCAAAAAGGGAATGCAATAATATGGGTGTTCCTGTTTGTAGATAAGGAAGTATAGTGTGTCAGGAAGCCTGGCAGTGCCTACCCAGAACGACAGGGGGCCACCAAGGGGTAAAGACCAGTGCTTGTTAGGCATCAGTAGCTATGTGTCCGTGAAGCTGGGCTCCCCATCTGTTTTACTCAGTTTGATTTGAGCATTCTCTCCGCCTCACCTCTTTTCCACCTGGAGACTTCAAGCAGACAGCCAGTTGGAGCCTTTCTATTGAAATTCATTGAGCGACTGAGGAAAATGAAAAAGCAAACCTTTCTCTGGAGAAATGAACAGAAGACACTTACTTCATCGGCTTTTAAAATCGAGACCGGAAACTATCAGTTTAACTAGAGCCGTCAAACAAATAATGAAGGGGAAAGCTGGAAAGAAAGAGAAGACAGAGAACCGGGCCGAGAAAGGGCTGGGGAAGGACAAGGTTGAAGGCCAGAAGTCAGAGTGTGGTTCGAAATCTAAAAAGCCTCCATTGAACATCCTACTTCCTGGTGAAATCCTGACAGCAGCTGCCGGAAATCAGCAATGAAACCAAGGTGGCGGATGTTGTGTATCACACAAAATCCCAAAGAAACTACCATTACCACTCATGTGTTTTAGCAGAGTCTTCGAGAAGGTCAATAGATAAAAATCAGTTGTATTTCCATTCCTGAATGGAAGTAAACAGAAACAGAAATTTACAAAGTAATGTAAAATTTACAGTAACATAAAGCACATCCTAAGCATGCCCGAGGCTCATTTTCCTCAAGTGTAAAATGGGGTAACCACAGGACGATGCCGATGGTTACAGCAGCATCAACAACTTGGATGGCTGTGTTGAGCCCTACAGGGTGTTCCCTGCAGCCCTGAATGCCCACATGGATGTTCCTGTTAGACTCCACATCGTCATCTAATTATGACTCAAGATTACATGAGGTGATGTGTATAAAACACCCTGCAAACTACCTTGCATAGAATACATTCTCAAGTACTTTAGTGAAAATAAAAACAGTGATTATAATTTAAAACCTTCTGTTGTTAGGTGGGGGTTTGCGTGCCAGACCTCGTTTCTTGTATCCACCATTTTAAACAGTTTATCAAACCCTGCGGATGACGCGTTCTGTTCCCCCAACTCCACCTTGTCCCATCTCCCTCCTGCCGTACACTCCCTTCACGGAAATCAATGCCTAGCTGCCCTTGTGTCTCCTTTCCGCCCTTCCCCGCCCACCCAGGTAACAATCGAGGTCTAATGCTTTTGGTAGGAAAACGTTTTCTTTTCAAATAGCATTGTCACTCAGCATACTATTCTCTTAAGGCCATCCATGTCACGAGGTGTTTCACAGCTTCATTATTCTTCAACGATGTAGCTCATTGTGTGTCTGTACCAAAGTTTGTTGAGCCATCGACTGGTATTTAGGCTCTTCCCTTCTTGCTGTCATGAATAGTGCTGTGAGGAACCTGAGTGTGTATCTATCGACTTGGGCTGTGTTGTTTCTGCAGCAGATAGTGTAAGTAGTGCTGTTTCTGGGTCATGTGGCTTTTCTAGCCCCGATTATTGGAGGAAGTGCTGTATTGCTCTCCAGTGGTTGCTGCTGGTTTCAGTCCCATCAGCAAGGAGTGGTCCAGTCTCTCACACCCCCTCCAGCGTTTGTTGTTTTCTGAATTGATTCACATTTTGTATCAACTCATCCGTTGTAATCCCGTCAATGTGTAATCACTTATCTCGTTTCTTCCCTGTGTTTCCTGCTTTCGTTCCTCTGTCTTTCCTATCCCTCTGAACTTGGCCTTGGGTAAAGGCTGTCCTTTTGAGCTAAAACGGTTGATTATTCTAATAAAGGGGTGAGTTCAGTTCCAGACGCGAAGGGTGACTGAGGGCTATAGTCTCACCAGTCTCCATCGACCAGTAAGCCCTGTCTCTTTAGGATGGTTAGTTCTGTTACCGATGACAATTTGAGAGAGGACTCAGAGAGTATAAGTAGTACTTGTTAGTAGTACTGTGCTGGGGCTGGTTTGACTTATGGTCTCTCAAGTAACTAGTCAAGTGTTGTTTTCACAAGAATATTTTAAATAGCTGGTTAATTCATGTGCTCATCTGGACACTTCTCTTGAGTCAGGCATATAGTGGGTAAGCCAAATAGACACACTCCATGCCTTGTGGCGTTTACATCATCGAGTGAGTAAATGGACATTGATCAGATGATGTCGCACATTGTGCTTCAAGTGTAAAGTAGGGGAACAACGAGCACAAAACAGGCTTTGGTGTGGAAACAAAACCACTGAGCTCAGCTCTGTGGAAGGACAAGTGGAGCAGCCGCAGGCGTGGGGGAATGTTCCAGGAGCAGTGTACAGGGAGCGAGCGTGGGCGGAGAGGGAGAGCCTGGGGAGAACGTCTGAGGGGAGGCTTGCCAAAGGAGCCGTGACTGCAGAGGAGGACATGGGACAGGCTAGCAGGGTGCTGAGAACCGTACTAAGCATTTTCTCAGTTCTCCCAGGAGAAATGGAGTACAGCCAAGGCTTTAAGCCAGAGGTTCTCAACCTGTGGGTCGTGACCCCTTTGGGGGTCGGACAACCCTTTCCCAGGGGTCGCCTAAGACAAATATTTCCGATGGTCTTAGGAACCGAGACACAACTCCTCTATCCATCTCCAGGCAGATCCGCCCACAAGCAGATACGCCCATAGACGAAGACTGTTACCCATGCTACACCATGCTTCAAGACAAAATTTCATTTTTTGTCATTAGAAATAAATACTTCACAATACAGAATTACATATTGTTTTTGTGATGAATCACTATGCTTTAATTATGTTCAGTTTGTAACAACGAAAATACATCCTGCATATCAGACATTTATATTACGATTCATAACTAGCAAAATTACAGTTAGGAAGTAGCAACGAAAATAATTTTATGGTTGGGGGGTCACCACAACATGAGGAACTGTATGAAAGGGTGAACGACATTAGGAAAATTGAGAACCACTGCTTTAAGCAAAGATGAGATGATCATTTTGAAAATATATTCCCACTGAAACCTTAGGACTATCATCTGTCTGGGAAGGTCTGAATGTAGGTTAGGCTAAGCTGGCAGCACTGAAGAGAGGAATTAATCAGTATTTGAGAGGCATTTAAGGAATAAAATAGATGGGATTTGGTGCTAGTTTGGACAAGGGAGGAAGGATGAGACTGGTGCCCCCTGGGATCAAACTTCACTGAGATCAGGGCAGCCTTTTCTTCACTGAGAAGTGGTTTGTTTAATTTTTGTCTATCTATGAATGTCTTACTCATGGGGGAAAGGAATGACAGGTGTAGGCCCCTTGACATTGGAAGCTTTGCCAGTGTTTACCAATTTGACTTGAAAGAGCTCAGCTGGTTTACCTGACTCTCCTCACCTTCAGGTCCATCCTGACTTACTACAGGGATCCTGGAGGGCAGAGCAGTGCTGCCTCTGTAGGTTTCCGAGGCTGTAAATCGTTATGGGAGCAGAGAGCCTCATCTTTCTCCCATGGAGCGGGCTGGTGGCTTTGAATTGCCGACTCTGGGTCTAGCAGTTCAACTCATTACTCATTTGCTTTGGGAGGCCAGGGGAAGACCAAGAAATTCAGCTTCAAAATTCTTGAAGGTTACACTTAGAACCCTTTTCCCTCCCCTCCCCTCTATTAAATCTGTTTCTTTGATCTGCAAAACGAAAATAGATGCAGTATAAAAATCAGTATGGCTTCAACTTATATATTTTTAATTAAATTGTTTTTAAGTTTTTTCTTCTTTGATCACCAGTAGTTAGATGTGAGAAAAGAATTCCTGGGGTTAGAACAGTATTGCCTCATCCAGTGAGTGTACAACTAGGCGCTGCTACAATCTAGCAGTTCTGAGGTACTCTGCCTCTGGTCTGGAATGCTTTGGTAGGTGTCTCAGCGCTGGACAGCCCCTTAAGATAAGGTGACCAGACATCCCGCTTTTGGCGGGACAGTCCCGATTTTTAACAATTTGTCCCACATCCTGCAGCGTTTTAAAAAAGTCCCGATTTTTGGAAAGAATGCACGACAAGCTAGGGTATACGGTTTTTGGCTGCCAGGTGGCTATTTCTCCAGGATATGAGTTTTATCAATGGTGTCCCGCTTTACCAATGTTAAAATCTGGTCACCTTACCTTAAGATCATCTTGGGTAAAAGCCCTAATCAAATGCTGCCGAGTTGCAGCATTAGAACAAGTCTGTGGGAAGGCCTGGGGGCTGGTCCACACTTCTCAGGACTATTGGATGACCTAAGCCTTGGCCTTCTTTCAGAGACTGTCTGAGGCACGTTTGTGTTTGGGCCTTCTTGGCCTTCCCCTCTCCTTGTCACATGTATGCAGCAGAAACCATCCAGTGGGCCCTCCTGGAGGGAAGAGAAACCACTAGTGTGTAACCACTAGCGTAGTCAGAGGAGAAGGTGAAATGGGAGGGCAGTCCCACAGTTTAGTCCTTCACTCAGGTACTGGATTGGGTAGGAGGTGTAGCTGCTGCTAGCATGCTGCTAAAGATGATGTTGTGTGAGTGAATACACGCCTCAGGTCAGGTGGTAGACTTTCTGACTCACTCACTCACTCACTCACTCACTCACTCACTCACTCACTCACTCACTCACTCACACCCTGTACACTCTGCCAGTCTCTCTGCATTGTCATAGTCTAGCAAATCCCTTGGTTAGGATGTTGGGAACAGGACCATGGACTCAGCACATCAGGCGAGACAGAGGCCAGCAGCTAAGAGACTCTGAGACCAGAGGGGAATCTGAGCATGAGGGTTTCCATGGCTGGGCCGGACCCCCTCTCCCACTGCCTCACTCTGCCCTTGCCTCTTCCTGCAGCACTCCACCTCGGTGAGCATCATGGGCTTTTCCAACACGCTGGAGATGGAGGTGTCCTCTCCCAAGCTGACGAGGTCCCTTGAGCCCCAGATCCAGAATGTGAGCAGCTTGTCAGCTGGCCCACCTCAGGCAGTGCCAGTCCGGCTGAGTGGGCCCCTGGCAAGTGGTCAAAGCCAGATCATGCCTGGTCTGACAACTAGCCACCTGCAGACTGTGCCCAGCCTCGTTCGTGGCACCTATCAATCCATGCCTAGCCTGCTGAGTGACCACCCCCAGGCCTTCCCAAGTACGGCAAGTCATCAGTCTCAGCCTGGTCACGGCCTAATGCCTGGTCACGGCCAGGCCATGTCGAGTCTGGCCACCTGCCCCTTGCAGAGCATGTCACCAGCTTCTGACACACAGCAGGAAACAGGATCCAGCACTGGCTTGAGTTCTGGCTCCGGCTCCGGCTCTGGCTCAGCCGGAGCTGTGCCCGTGTGCCCTGTGGATGGTGCAGACCACTCCCTGGGGAATACCCTGTGTAAGGTAAGTCTTGGGGAAGTGCCTTTGGCTTCCTCTTGCCTATCCTTGGACCAAAGGTCACTGGAGGCCTTATTCTGGCCTTAGCTTAACAGCTCAGGGACTGATAATACAAGAATGTCTCACATTTAAAATTCTTGTTGGCCTTTCATTTTTGAAAGATGGAGAATGAGGAGCCTGCTCGCTTCACTGACTCTCTGGTGCCTGGCCCCGCGGCCCTTGGTCTGGATGCACCCAAGGACTTGACTCTCCCCTCAGAGCCAGAGGAACCAATCAACCTGTCGGTGAAAAGACCGCCCCCGGCCCCAGCCGTTGTCAGCACCTCCATGGCTCTGCAGCACTACCGGAACCCTAAAGGTGAGGCTCACGTAAGCAGCCTGCTTTTGGCGCTGACCATGAACTGAGCATATCAGGGGAGACAGAGGCCAGCAGACAGGCTCCTTGGGGGAGTAGTGTCTTCCTCTAAGGCAGTGGTTCTCAACCTTCCCAAGGCCACGACCCTTTCATACAGTTCCTCATATTGTGGTGACCCCCCGACAACCATAAAATTATTTTTGTTGCTGCTTCATCACTGTAATTTTGCTACTGTTATGAATCGGGTGACCCCTGTGAAAGGGTCGTTCGACCCCCAAAGGGGTCTCGACCCCCAGGTTGAGAACCGCTGCTCTAAGGAGAAATCCAGTTCTCACCAGAAGTGATTTATTGATAGATGTTCTGCTTCTTCCACTGTAGACTGAGTGGCTCCAAGCATGGTCAGGATTTGGCTTCCTTAGGACGGTGTGTCCCGTCTCCCTCACCACACACAAACTCCTGAGAGGCCGGGCTCTAGGTGGGGCATCAGGAAGAAGGGCTAAAACTACCAGGAACAGAGCACGCACTTTGAAGTCAGACAGAGCCAATTTAGTAGCCAGTTCTTTCTCTTTGTGCTTGATCCTTACTTGTAAGATACAGAAGCTCTCTGCCTAGTTTCCTACTCTGTAAACGGGACTGGTCCTATCTGCTTTATCAGAGGCTATTAGGACACATCAGTACAGGAAAGCCATTTGGTTGCTAGCTGACCCTGTAGGACTAAGAATTTGCTTTGTATTGGCAGTAATTGACCCATTTGTGTTGTGCGGCATGGCACACAGAATTCAGCCTACGGGAGATGGGCTGAGTCTGCTCAGCTATCCATGCCCCATTTGAGAAGGGGGCCTATCTTTTGTGGAAGGTGAGGATTAGTTGGGAAGGTGGAAGCAACTGCCACGTGATTTGGAACTTGGCCAGGTCCGTATGTGGTGCCTGCTTAGTTTGCAATGATCACACTGCCCGAAAGACAACGACGATTGGTTCTTAATCACTGTGTGTTGGCATCGACTCGATGGCAGAATAACTGCATAATAATGCAAAAAATGCATTTTATGGAATTAAACGTGTTGGACCCTGTTTGCCCATACAGTGGATTTGACTGCACCACCTGTGAAGTACCTAGGGCGGTACCTGGGGCTCAGTGGGTGCTCCAGGAATGCTAGCTAGCTCCCACTTCTCTCCTCACAGCGGCCTCCCGTGACCATCACAGCCTGCACTATGCAGGCTGAGATCCCTGGGAGCCTCTTGCCTGTGTGGTGTGAGCTGGGTTCAGGCAGTGCTAGAATCCCGGCACCTGACCGAGAGGTAGAGGCTGGACAGAAGGACCTCCGAGAGTAGGTAGCACCCAAGCACCAGGAACAGTGGTTTCTGAGCTCATTCAAGAGTGAGAATCTGGTCTGTGTGTGTCGGAGCCGAGGCTCACTCTTTCTTAGCCTCTGAGTGTTATCTGAATTCATTCTTCAAGGAGAAGGTGACCGTACTCTACTCTCAGGAAGGAGACCGGTAGTTATATTGCTACCACCGTGTGTGATTATAGTGTGGGTCACAGTTGTGTAACCGGTATGTGGCTAAAGGTGTGAGTAGTAGATGCAAGTGGAAAGTAAGAGTCACAGGAGTAGTGAAAGGTATGTGCTTATAGCTGTTTGATTTCGGTTATGTGTAGAAAGTATGTAAACAAATATATGATTATAGATATGGGTGGCAGTATATGGTCACAAATGTATATATGGCATAGGCAATTATCTTTGTCCTTAGAGTATGAGAATTTTGAACAAGGAGCCCTCAAGTTGGATACAAAGGAGAACCAGAGCATCAGGTAACCAGTTCTTGACGCAGCGCCCCCATGCCCAACTTCATATCCCGGGAGGTTGGCATAGGAAGTCGTCATCCTTGATGCCTTAAATGAAAGCAGAAAGTTGCCTGTAACTGCCTCCTTTACCTCCCTGGCCCTCAGGTGGGCTGTGTATGGCTTTCTGTGTGGGCCGGTTGTGACAGGGCATCCTGGCTTCAACCCCGTGCAACAGGCTCTCTGCGTACTCCCCCTCCTCAGAGAACCCCTGGTTTTGTCTTTGAGATTGGGAAGGTTTCGCCCAAACCCAGGGTTCTTTCTGCACCCACAGAGCCTTCGGCAATGAGCCCAAGATCCCCTATGTGCGGCTGGAGCGGCTCAAGATCTGTGCTGCCTCCTCAGGAGAGATGCCTGTGTTCAAGTTGAGACCCCAGAAGGATGACCAGGATGGGAGCTTCCTGCTGATCATCGAGTGCGGCACGGAGTCCTCCAGCATGTCCATTAAGGTACCTGCAGGCCTGGAAACTGGGTCTCCTGCTTCAGTCCTGGCTGCTGACGCAGAAGCAGAAGATTCAAATTTGAACTGGGGAAAAACCCACTGAAATGGGACAGACGATCAGCTGACACCCTGATAGGCACGTGATCTCCCTCCTACTGGAGGAGGACAGCATGCATATTGCATAGCAACCAATCTCTTGGCCTGCAGAGTCAGGAACAACAGCACCCTGCTCAAAGTTGTGGCCACAACACTGTTTTAAATGCGTGTTCCTCTCCACAGCCCTGGAAATAATCAAATCTCCCACATTAGACTCCTGAAAGGGCTCACTACACCTTTTCCAAGTTTCTCATTCCAGGGCTTTGGCAGAATTTTTCCCATTCTGGCTATCATTCTGCTTCACCGAGATTTTAGAAATCTGGGTCCGTTCTGATTTCACTTGAACTTGTTCCAACTGCTTCAGCTCCTTGGGCGCCCCTTTGCTCTGCCTTAGCCTTTGACCTTGACTCAACCGAAGAACATCTCCATTTTCTCTGCTACTACCAGAATTCTGGCTTTGGAGCCGTGGCGTGGGCCCTGAGTGGGGCTGTAGGTTGGCCACACCAGGCTCCCTGCTGCAAGGGGCCTGGGAGATAGACATGATAAGAGTCATCTGGCCCAGAATTCATGGGGTGTGTCTGGCCTGGGTCCTGGAATAAGTGGTCTCACAGTAGGTGCTCAGGGCCTGCCAGTTCCTCCCTCCCTCAACAGGCTGTAGGTGCTGTGCTCTGAGTGCTCAGATTCACTTTCCCCCCAAGGTCAGCCAGGACAGCGCGCTGGATGCCACCCAAGCCCCAAGTCTTGGAGGAAGAAAGGTCACCGTTACATCTCTAGCTGGGCAGCGGGTGCCAGAGGTGGAGGGTGCATCTTCTGAGGAGCACAGGCTCATCCCTCGGAACCCTGGCACCAAGAAGGGCCCTCCGGCACCCATAGAGAATGAGGACTTCTGTGCTGTGTGCCTCAATGGGGGAGAGTTGCTGTGCTGTGACCACTGCCCCAAAGTCTACCACCTCTCCTGCCACGTGCCGGCCTTGCTCAGCTTTCCAGGGTGAGTCAGGAGCCCAGGGCCAGGGCCTGTCTCTCGGTGCTTCTCATTCCAGCCCAGGCCCCGCAGGGCTCCCCAGGTGGGTGAGCTGACCCCGTCAGCTGAGGGCCTTCTGTGCACAGGCAGGCCGCCATGTGGTATTTGATTGTCTCCCTTGCCTCCGCAGCTCCCTGCTTCCTCCTGCACACAGATCTGTCCCGCTCGTCCAAGCCCAGCTCCTTGCAGAACTCAGAGGCTTTTTGTTTTTCATTTCACTGAAGCCTGAGCTTTTGAATTTGTTTCAAGCTTGTGACTGGGAAGTTATTCCTGGAGGTCAGGGCTGGGGACTCCATTTCCCATGCCATGCCCACACTTTCCTTAGGGCAGAGGGACAGGCAGTGGCGCTCTTGGCAGTGTGCTGAGGCCTAATTTGGCCTCACCTGCCTATGCAGGGGGGAGTGGGTGTGCACCTTGTGTCGTAGCCTGACCCAGCCTGAGATGGAATACGACTGTGAGAACGCTCGCTGCGACCAGCCCGGAGTGCGGGCACCTCCTGGACTGAGCGTGTATGACCAGAAGGTAGGGACGGTTGTGGGAGCAGGGCCCCTGCCAGGGCAGCCATCCAGCGCCTTCTCAGAGGGGATGGAAGGCCTTTCTCATGGCTTTCTTTCGGCCTAGACCTAGCAGTGTGGCCTTTGGGGGTGGGGGCCTCCTGGTTTCCTCTGGCCCGGGAGCCCACACTGTGCCCGTAGGGTGGTGGTTCAGACCCAGTGGGACAGCCAGACCCTCTAGTGCTCCATCTTCCGTTCTGATTGAGATGGGACCAGAACTCAGCATGACAGTTGCCAATTCTGATCTCTGCAGAAGTGTGAGAAGCTGGTCCTGTCCCTGTGCTGCAACAGCCTCAGCCTTCCCTTCCACGAGCCGGTCAGCCCCCTGGTAAGGACGGCCCGCGGTTTCTGCCTGCCACTGCCGTTTCTGCCCAAGGACTCGAGCACGTGGGGACACTCAGAGCATGGCCTCCGGAAGTAGTGGCAGCATTCATTTGTGGATGCTCCAGGGAACTTGGGCTCTGTGGCCACGCCACACTCCCAACTGCTGCTCTCTCAGACCTGGCTTGGCAAGTGACCCCTTTCTCCCCTTCTCTCTCTCTTCCTTTCTTCTTCTGTCTGTGCCCCACCTTTGGCTTTCTTCTGCTCCCTCCCTTCGGTTCCAACGCATGCCCCACCTCTTCTTCCTCCCCACCTCCACCTTGGCTGCTTCTCCCCTTCCGAGGCCCGGCATTATTACCAGATTATCAAGCGGCCCATGGATCTGTCCATCATCCGAAGGAAGCTGCAAATGAAGGACCCGGCCCACTACACCACCCCAGAAGAGGTGGTGTCCGACGTGCGCCTCATGTTCTGGAACTGTGCCAAGTTCAATTATGTAGGTCCTGCCCTGTTCCTGGCTCGCTGTCCTTCCCTTCACCCCACCCCCTGCCCCCGCCCCCGCCCCGCCACCTGCTTTCTAAGTGCCTCCAGGCCTGACCTGGCTGGATTGGGGGCAGTGAGTTTGGGTCCTGCACTGCTGTGAGCTCAAAAGTGCTCTCCTACACCTGGGTTTCTCATGGACTCAGGGAAAAAGTAGAGAGGGCCTGGTGACTGGCCGTCTGGAGTACCTGTCAAGGGCCACTGTGCTTTCAGAGCAAACTGGTTTGTTCTGAGTCTTGAAGTGAAAACAACAAGTTGTGGACACCTGTTAGGCCCCAGTCCGGGCTCTGAGCTCTCTCTGTCGCTTTTGAGGGACTGGGGGGGGGGGGGGGGGGGGGGGGCTGAGCTGGTGGAAAGAGGCCAGACCATCACTGCTCTTCTTCCCCCGCAGCCCGACTCTGAGGTGGCAGAGGCTGGCCGCTGCCTGGAAGTCTTCTTTGAAGGCTGGCTTAAGGAGATCTACCCGGATAAGCTGTTTGCCCAGCCCAGGCAGGAGGACTCAGACTCGGAGGAGGTGTCTAGTGAGAGTGGATGTTCCGCTACCCAGGGCTTCCCGTGGCCCCACTACGTGCAGGAGGGCATCCAACCCAAGAGGAAACGGCGACATCTGGTAAAGAGTTGGTGCCAGCTGGGTGGGGGGTGGGGGGGTGGGAAGGCAGAGGGTGGTGGAGCAACATGACCAGAGCCATCTAACGTCGCTCAGGAGGCATGAGAGAGAAGGTTGACAGTGAAGCTTCCCGTCCCACGCTGTAGCCTGTAGAAAGGCAGGGTAGCATAAGCACCCCCAACTCCAGATACCAGTGAAGATCGGAGTTCAGTGAGATGCATGTACCTGCCAAGGCCGTGGTCTGAGTTACCGAAACCAAAACACCAAACACCGCCATCAAATCGACTCCAGCTCATAATTAGCCCTCACTCACTGCCGTGAGTTTATTCTGACTCATTGTGACCCTGTGGACAGTGTAGAACGTCCCTTGTGAGTTTCCAAGACGAACTCTCTACAGAAGTAGAAAGCCTCATCTTTCTCCCTTCGAGCGGCTGGTGGTTCCAAACTGCTGACCTTGTGGCTAGCAGCCCAACACATTGCCACTACGCCTCCAAGATGCCTCACGGTTATTTAGTGCTGCTTTAACAGGTGTACCACTACGTGCCAAGTGATTTAACAAACAGAAGTTTATTTCTCACCCTTTAAGAGGCTAGAAGTCCAAATGCAAGGTGCCGACCTTAGTGGAAGGCTTTCCCTCTCTCTGGGCTCTAGAGGAAGGTCTTGGTCTCTTCAGAGCTTCTGTGGCTTGGCATCTCCCTGCCCCTGCCCCTGCCCCTGCTGCCCAGCATGCTTATGTAGTCTCTATTATATCTCAAAAGATACACCCTACACTATTGCTACCTCATTAACATAACAATGACATCCATTTCCATATGGGACTATAGCCACCAAACTAAAAGAACAAAAACCATAACACCAGAAACCCAAACTCACTGCTGTCGAGCCAATTCTGCCTCACACGTGACCCTATAGAGCAGATTCTAACTGCCCTTTTGGGTGTCTGAGACTGTAAATCTTTATGGGAGCAGACAGCCTCATCTTTTCCCCAAAGAGCAGTGAGGTTAGGTCCTAGACCGTCAACCTTGTGGTGAGTGGCCCAATGTGTAATAGCAGTTACTTTGCAAATTAATAGAACTAGAATGAGAAATCAGGTTTCCTCACTTCTACTGCCTGCTCATTATACTAAACTGTGAGGTCCATAAGA